TAATGACCAGACCTCTACAGTAAAGAATTCCACAGATTCACTACCCTAAAAAAAAACTCTTCAACTCTGTCCTAACTAGGCAACTCCTTACTCTGATGAGTATGTTCTCGAGTCCTAAAATCTTCCACAAGAGAAAACAATCTCTGTAGCAACTGTCAAGCCCAAAGAATCTTTATGTTCCAATAAGGATGGCTCTCATTCCTCTAAACATTGAGTATAGGCCTAAACCTTAGTTGTCCTCAGATTAAGAATCCAAAACTGTTCATAATCTATGGTGTGTTCTATGCCTTGTTTCTTCTATACACAAAATAAAGACTTCTCTGTTTTATACTCCATTGTTCTGTGAAAGAAAGGCCAACATTCCATTTGTCTCCGCTGCTACCTGCTGAACTTGGGTGCTAGCTTTGTGATTTATATACTAGGACTCCCAAATCCCTCTGCGCTGCAGCTTTCTGCAGTCTCTCAATTTGCAGTTACCTGTGTTGTTATCTCCTTTTTTGAAAGTAACTCTTTGCATTAGCAATTTTCCAATCCTCCAGAACTTTCGCAGTATCTAAGGATTCTTGGAAGATTACCACCAGTGGATTCACTATCATTATAACTATTCCTTTAATATTCTAGGATGCATTCTATCAGGTTCAGAGGACTTATCAGCTTTAGGCTCCAGTAGTTTCACTTGTACCTTTTCCCCTAGTGATAGTTATTGCAAATTTCCTCTCCCATTTCTGCCCTTGGTTTAGTATTTTTGGAATGCAATTAGTGTCTTCTACCATGAAGGCTGATTCTTTCTTCTTTTTTATAATTGAAACAAAAAGCTCTTGATGTCTGTCTTTATATTACTTGTAAGTTTACCTACAAAGTTTATTTTCTCCCTCTATTCCTTTGGTCATCTTTTGTCAGTTCTTCAGCTGTCAAGGTGTGTTGGGGATTATGGGGTGCAGGGGCAGCTGACAATCAGTAAGAAATTTCATTGGCTATGTTTCACTTGAGGTCATGAGGCTTCATGAGATCTGGAATTAAAAGTCAAAACTCCCAAGACAACTTCTTCCCCAGAGTACACCACTACGCTGCCACCTCTTGTGAGTCTGTCTGGCAATGAGGCAGGGATGGTACACCCAGGGATGGTTATGGTGTAATCAAATACATGAAAATCATGATGTAGTAGTTGGTCATGGATGATTGATAACAGTAAGAGAGAAGACACTGGTCTAAAACAAACATGGAAAAAAGGTCTTAGTTATCATATTAGAGAACTGTATTTGAGAACCTTTCTTTTATAAAGTACAAACAAATGATTTATTATTGTAATTTGTATTTTATCGTGAATAATACAGTAAAATACAGTGCTTTTCATTGTATTTTACTGTATTATTCTTTCATGGGTTGCGGGCATTGCTGGCTGGGTCAGCATTTATTGCCCATCCCATTGTCTTTGAGAAGGTACAGATATTAAAAGAAGTGTTACAGTACATAAGCAGTTGAAGAGCCTTAATTAGATATAGATTAGGCAGTCAGGGGCCAGTGTATGTGCAGATGTACACAGCATAAGATACTCCTAACTAATATACAGGTAGCAATATTGGCTAAAAGCACAAGATAAAGTGCTGTGGCAACTAGGGCAAAAAACCTCCAGAGCCAGGATTCAAAATCAAAACAAAGTCCAGGGGATAAAGCTGAAAAAGGAAGACTGGAAAGGCCGGACAGGACCTGGAAGACATCAAAGGTGGAGCTGAATAAAGCAGGAAAACTCCTAAGGCAGATCAAGACCTCAGAAGACTTGTATAAGGCGAAGACTCTGACAGGCAGAAAATAGAACCTGAGAAGATTTGGAAGCCTAGCCATGAGTCAGCAACATTCCAGACAGGGAAGAAAACAGAATCAGAACACACCAACAATAAAGGCAGAAAAAATCAAGTACTTACCCATGTCAGCTGGGCAAGATAGTCTGCAGGGATAGCAGCTTTACTGGAGACTTTGCCATTGTCTCAACCATATGATAAACAACAAAGGCCCACACAGAGGTCAAAAGTGAATGGCCAAGAAGTGGCAGTTTTCAGCAAAGGAAACAGCTTCAAGCTTACCTGTGAAGCAGCAACACCAGCAAGTCAGCAGATTTTCTTTTTATGCTGTACTTCCAAACAGCTGATGATGCTGTGGGAAGAAAATTAGTTCTCAGCATTTGAAAGAATCAATAGAAGCCTTTGGAATAGGTTCATATCACCTGAATTTCCACACTGATATGCATAAATGAGCAATGCTGCTTAGGTATGCTAAGTCAGTTTATTTCCAGCTTATAGATAACACAGCATGGAGCTGGAGGAAGCACAGCAGGCCAGGCAGCATCAGAGGAGCAGGAAAGGTGACGTTTCAGGTCAGGACCCTTCTTCAGAAAAAGACCTTTTCTGAAGAAGGGTCCTGACCCGAAATGTCAACTTTTCTGCTCCTCTGATACGGCCTGGCCTGCTGTGGTCCTCCAGCTCCACACTGTGTTATCTCTGACTCCAGCATCGGCAGTTCTTACTATCTCTTACTTCTAGCTTAGCCTGCTTTACTTAACCCATAAGAAAGCTTTTGAAAAAGGTGCAGCAAAGTATTGCCATCAGACTGCAGTTTTTGAAGAAGATCAAAAAGAGGCGTCCTTCCCACCGATGTTTTAGCACATTACATTCAAGATTCCTTCAGTATTGCAGCCGCATCATTTATAGGACTACAAGTAGTCCTTATCCAAATGCAAACTGACAGAATGCAAACTCTGACCTTTTTTACATTAAGAGTTTTGACGGAATGATCAGAGATAACCAATCACAGAAATAGACAAACTTATTGAAACATATGAGATCTTGAGGGAAGTTGATAGGGAGATACTCAAAGAATGATTCTTCTTGTTGGGGAGGCTAAAATTAGGGACATAATTTAAGAATAAAAGGTCTGTCTTTTAAGACAGCGATAAGGAGAAATATTTTCTTCTGGATCATTAGTAAGAGACACATTCAGAGGAGGTTCACGAGAATGGTCCCAGGAATGGAAAGCTTAACATATGAGGAATGTTTGAGGACTCTGGGACTTTACTCATTGGAGTTTAGAAGGATGAGGGGGGATCTAATTGAAACTTTCAAAATACTGAATGGCCTGGACAGAGTGGATGTTGGGAAGATGTTTTCATTTGTAGGAGAGACTAGGACCCGAGGACACAGCCTTAGAGTAAAGGGAAGACCTATTAGAACACAGATAAGAAGAAACCTCTTCAGCCAGAGAGTGGTGAATCTATGGAATTCACTGCCACAGAAGGCTGTGGAGGCCAGGTCATTAAGTACATTTAAGACTTGGTTCTTGATTATGAAGGGGAACAAGGGTTACAGGGAGAAAGTGGGAGAATGGGGTTGAGGAACTTATCAGCCATGATTCAATGGCAGAGCAGACTTGATGGGCCCAATGGCCTAATTTCTGCTTCTATGTCTTATGGTCTTATTTTCTTCCAAGAAGGCAGTGAAGTTGGATCTTTGTATTTATTTGAGGCTCATGAGTTAGATGGAGTTTTAATAACAAGGGAGTCAAGGATTACATGGTGCAGACACGAAAGTGTAGCTGAGACCACAGCTAAATCAGCGATGATCTTAAGTGATAGAGCAAGTGCAAAGACCCAAATGCTCTACTCCTAAGTCCTATTCAATTGAAATTAAACTTCATAGGCTTCCGTGATGGGTTTTGAACCCATGCCTAATGCTCCAAGCAAAGGCTCAGGTTTTCTAGACTGGGAGGTGAAGTTAAAGTTAAATTAAACCTATCAAGGTGTTACTGAAGGCATTCTTCTCCAGTGTGAGTACTGTACAAGGTGTGCTTTTGTGTACTACATAAGCGATGGCTTGGGGAATTTGAAAAGGAGTGGGATTGTATTTGCTGTGTGTTTCAAAATCTCTAAACTTGTATTGTGTGAATAGTTTGGTTTTATTCTATTTTATCTTCATAGCTGGTGTGAAATAAAATTTATTTTATTGTTGAAACCAAATCTGCAACATTGCATGCTTATATTTCAGTCAGAGACCACGTTGTCAAAACAAAAACAAAACAGATCTGTCAAGCCACATTTCAGTCTGAGATCCGACTTGTCCAGTAATAACTTCTGGTGGGTCATAACTAGCGGAGGATTGTCTGGGAATTTTTGAATCAACTGTTAAAGGTGAATTGTTAAAGTAATGGCTACATGGTGGCTCTGAGCATAAAAAGCAGCTTTGTTGTGGTGAAATTTATTGTACAGAGAGTTGAAGATGGCTTTGAATTTCCTAAGGTTTTTCTGGGACCAAAATTGTAATATTTAAAATCTTTGACAAAATCTAAACACAGAGTTAGCAGATAAATTAACAGAAGAGCGAAGAGCAATGTCCCATAAGGGTGAGATGCATCAAGTGATTATACAATATTTAGAATCAGGAGAAAGGAACTGGGATTAGCGACAACATGTTAGAAAGGAAAAAGAATTGACTGGAAAAAGAAAAATGAAAAAAAAAATTGAAAATGAGGAAAGTGGAAAGGGAGCAAAATGGAAAGTGAGGAGAGAGAAAACAGGGAGATAGTGTTCAAAAAACATGAAATGAAAAAAGAGGAAAAAGAATAACAGAAGGAGATGGATTGAAAAGACTGGAGCTCCAAAGAGATTGGGAAATTTAAAAAAAAATGAGTTGGCCAAAAGAAGGCTTAGAATAAAGAAGAAGATAGTAGCTCAGAGGATGATTCTGATTCCAATGAGGGAAATGATTTTAGAATATATGCTTGGTGCCTGAATTCAACAAAATGTACTTTACCTCATTTGAAAAGATAGTTAAACAGATGAAGTGGCCAAAAGAGGTTTGGACATTAAAATGAAAACAAGTGTTTTGATATGTATAGCTATAACTTTGAATGTTCCTTGGACAAACTGGCACTATACAATGCCTCCACCTGAATTAGTGGGAAAGCTTCGGGAGGTCAGCATGTCACAGTGCGATTATAAATTTGCTGGCACATCTTTCTTTTATCCTGCCTTGGCTGCACTATGAAAATTCAGCCCCCAATGCCAGAAGTAAGTACTCCTCATAGGCATTCCTCCCTCTCAGGATGTCAACTGTGTCTGGAGCGTATTTCACTTCTCGAATGAACATCATATGTTGTGTATTTTGGGGCAGTCTCATGAATGGTAATCCCTTCTGTAGCTAGCACAAATGGATAACATTGGTCTGAAGGTAACTTTATTGCCCTTATATTCTGCCACTCCACCCCAATTATGTGCCTAAATCCAGATGGACAACTGTTCAAATTATTGATTTCCCTCCTGAATGGGAACTCATCTTCATAACAATGGCCAGGTTCCAATACAATCCTTGCAGTATGTGATCAATCTCTTGGATTGCATCAGGCAGGTTATTACATTTCTCTGCACCACTGTCATATGGTAGCAGTCAAACAAAGTTGAAACAAAAATAGAAATTGCCGTAGAATCTCGGTAGGTCTGGCAGCATCTGTGAAGAGAAGGTAGAGTCAATGTTTCAGGTCCAGAGACAGTCAGATTTCCAGCATCTGCATTTCTTGGTTTTAGACCATGTTGAATCCCTCATGCTGAGCCATTGTCTGAATTTAACCTCTGTGCATTTGTGTGGAAGAATGAATTTTATTTGCAGTGCTGTGTCCACTGAGTTTGAGGTTCTTTCTAATATTTCATAAAGTCCAATTGAAGGAAATTCAACACTATTTAACCCCCCATCCCCCACCTACCCCAGGCTGACCTTTGATTCTCTTGGCTACTTGTCTTGAAAGTATTCAATGGCTGTATCTACCACCACCTTCTGAGGCAGAGAACTTCAAAGTTGCACAACCCTCTGAGAAAATGAACCCTCCTCATCTCTGCCTTAAAAAGGGCAAGCCTAGTCTTTTTTTTAAACAGTGCCTAGTCTGGACCCACTCACCTTGTTATGGTTATGAAGATCTTATATTATTCGATATGCCACTGTCACTCTTCTGTGGAAAAAGGCTCACTTGTCCAATTTTTGTTCAAAAGACAACCCACTCCTTCTGGGCATCAACTTAGCAAAACTTCTCAGAACTGCCTCCAAAATATTTACATCCTTTACTATATAAGGAGACCAAACAGTACTCAGAATGTGGTCTCACAAACTGCAGTATAACTGAAGCACAACATCTGTATGTACAATTCTTCTTGTAATAAAGGACAGGATTCTATTAATCTTTCAATTACTTGCTGTACAGTTGTACTAACTTTTCATGACTCATGCACAACATAACTCTGCACTTCAGACATTCTATGTTTAACAAAACTCTGCTTTTATATTCTTCCGACCCTTGTGTTTCACAGTAGTCACGCTGCTGGACTAACTGTCAGTTCAGGTACATAAGAGCATCAACCAAATGTTGTGGAAAACTATCTGCAAGAAGATGGACAAATGCAATTTGGCAGTTGTCACCCCATAAGTCCACTCTCAGTCATCATCAAGGTGATAAAAGATGTAGTCGACACTGCAAACAAATAGTGTTCACTGATAGTCAGTTCTCCAGAGCTACTCCACACTGATTACAGCGGAAGTTCAGGCATGCACAAAACCGATGAACTTCAGAGGTGAGGAGAGTGGGTGCCTTGAAGTGAAAGTGCCCTTTATTTCCTTACCTGGCTGATTTTAAAATTGCGTGCGATAACACTTCGGTGAATGGAACATTTACTGGTTAAACGCTGACTTAGAACCAAGTTACTGGCGGAGGAGATGCAAGTATAGAAATTGCTGCAATAGAAACAAGAATCGCCGAAAACACTCAGCTCCTGTCGAGAAAGAAAAATTAATCGCGGTGTTCGTTTTTTTTTTAAATTGTTAAATATGTAACTTAACTAACTGAAACTTTTAAGACGCGTCGAAGAGAATGCGCCCAATATCGGTGATAGATGCAAAATGTTTATTGCTAGGGAGATGGCCAGAGAAGGTGTGTGAGATTTTGATCTAAGGCAGTGCAATGTAGAATGTACCAGCGCTTTCTGTTAGCTGCTCCTGCTCGCCTTTCGCTTTGGTCATGGCGGCGGAGGTAGAACCAGGGGCTGCCGACAAGGAGATGGCCCAGAGCCTGCACACCCTGCTCAACGCGCTCAGCCGCTTCCACCAGCAGGTCTGTTACCGCGCTCCCGCTCTCTTTGATTTGAAAAGTACTGGCTCTTTTCCCCGATCTTTTTTGGGGGTAGTCTTCAGGCCCGGCCCCGGGCCCGCGCCGAGCCTGGGCCTGGAGTAAAACGCCAGCCCCGGTTCAAACGGACATTGCCTGAGCTTTACGGTGGGGAGGGAGGGTGTGGTTTGTGCTTTCAGCCGCCGCACACCCAGGTAATTTCAGGCAGATCTGTTTTCACTCGCCGAGAAATGTCTGCCCGAGGAGTTGGGCCGTGCGTTTGAGTTAGCATTCTCTGTTTAAACGAGAGGACACGGTGGAGCGACCTCAGGCAGCATCTTTACACATTGTTTTAGGTAGATACTGGCTTTTCATTAGAAATAATGCACAATTCAACAATAACTCGCGTTGGTGTATCACCTCCAAAATAACAAAACAACCTAAGGCCTTTCACAGGGGTATTATAAAAGTGTAACAGAGCCTATAGTATCAAAATATAGATTAAAGCGTAAATTTTGAGGTGTTTTTGCAGATGACCACTCCTTGTTACCTTGTTTTTTTTTAACGACCTTTACCAGAATGTGGTACTTGGTAAGAATTGTTTGAGGTAGCTCACTGCCACCAATTCTCCTTTTGTCTTTGCTTTGTTTTGGGCCTACCTAGTGATTAGTAGTAGAGGATATACCATTGTAGAGTACCTACAGAAAAACACGATTTATACGTATGACAGCAAAGGGGGGAAGGTAGTGTAGACACAGCTCATCCATCCAAAAGTTAGAGTCGACTTCCTTGCCTCTACTCACAGCTTGACATCAGTAGAATAGGTGGAGCCAATATAGTTAGCAAAACTTCCTTTAGAACCCTTACTTTATTGGATACACTTTAAGAATATCATGAAGGTGGAAAACTAAGCAGAGAGGTGGAATTCCAGAGTTTGGGGCTAAGGAAACTGAAGATTTGGTCACCAGTAGTGGAGCAATTAAAATCAGGGATGCTCAAGAAGCCAGAAATAGAAGAGCACATATGTCTTGGAGCATTGTGGAACTTTAGGACTTTACAATGATATGGGGGAGCCTATGAAGGGATTTAAAAACAAGAATGAGTGCTTTAAAAATCAACGCATAGTATATTGGCTCCCAGTCAAGCTGAGAACACTGGTGCAATGGGTGAATGACACTTGGAGTCATAGAGATTTTGCAGCATGGAAAGAATCCCTTTGGCCCATCTTATATGTGCTGGTCATCAAACATTTAATCTTACTATCCAGCCCTTGGCCCATAGCCTTGCATGCTGTGGCATTTCAAGTGCCCATCTAAGTAATTTTTAAATGTCTTAAGGATTCCTGGCTCTACCACCCTTTCAGGCAGAGAGTTCTAGACACCCACAACCCTCTGGGTGAAAATGTTTTCCCTCAAATCCCCTCTAAACCTCCTGATTCTTATTTTCAAACTGTGAGCCGTCTGCTAAGGGAAAAAAAATTCTGTCTGTCTACACTCCTCAGAATGCTTTGTTTCTCAATCAGATCTCTCTCTCTCTTTCTCTCTCTCTCTCTCTTACCTGCTCCCCCCAACTTGTCTTGTTTGTGTGATTAAATTGCAGGCTGCAGAATTTTAGAAGAGGGCTTACAAATGATAGAATGTGGGAGACCAGTCACGTGTGCATTAGAAAGTTAGATCTGAAGGGTTGAGCAGCAGATGAGCTGACAAAGTTAGGTAATGTTATGGATTTGGAAATACGTAGTCATATCATTGCATGAATATGAGGTTGGAATTTCATTTTGGGTCAAACATGGCAATAAAGTTTAGAACAGATTAGCATAGAGGGATGAAGCCAGTTGCTAGGCAATGGAATTTGGAGCAGGAGCCAAAACTGATGACCGTGTATTTAATTGAAGGAGATAGTGGCACATTCAATACTAGTGTCAGGTATGGAGTGTCTTTCTTTCAATTTCTTCTTAAGATATGTGCGTTGCTGGTGATGCCAGCATTAATTGCCCTTGAGAAGATGGTGGTGAGCTGTGTTCTTGAACCACTGTAGTCTTTGGGGGGTGGGTACATCCACAGCTGCTTAGCAAAGAGTTCCAGGATTTTGACCCAGGCAACAGTGAAGGAACAGCGATATAGTTTCAAGTCAGGATGGTGTGTAGCTTGGAGGGGTACTTGCAAGTGGTGATAATCCTATATCTCTGCCTTCGGCTTTCAAGGTGGACAATCTATTAACAATGGTGAAGTTTAGAATGGTGGTGAGATAGAATTGGGTGTCATCAGAATATGCATTAGGACTAATGCCATGCCTTCAGGTGTTGCCACCTAAGGCGAAAATGTAGATGAGAAACAAGAAGGGTTCAAGGCTACATATTTGGGGATGCTAAAATCTTAGTGTAGGAAGAGGAATCATTGCAAATTATTCGCCAATTTAAGATAAGAACAAAACCAAATGAGAGCAGCCCCAACCTGCTGGATGAACATGGAGAAGCATTGGAGGAGCATGATGTGGAGAACCATGTTCTCATGTTGTGCTGCATACAAGTCACAGAGGCAAAGTTACTTTTGTCAGTAAAAGAGGATGTTGTTTATTACTTCGCTAAGAGCTGTTTTGTTAATGTGGTTGGTATGGAAAACTAAATAGATGTCCTCTATTCATGGATTTCTGGGAAAAGATTTGGGAGGTGAAAACTGCTTCAAGGATTATGGAGAGAAACGTGTGGTTGGAAATGGCACCATAGTGTTCAAGAAGTTTGGTAGATTTTAAAAGAATGGGGAACCACACTGGAAAATCTGTTCACAACATTGGGTAATATAGGGTTTAGGAAGGGAAGTGGATGGTTAGTAGTTTGGTGAAGATGGGCTGGTTGGAGATGTCCTGTGGCACAGATGATAATATCCCCGCATCTGATCAGAAACTCAGAGTTCAGATTTCATTTCAGGACTGGATGGCCAAGGAAGAAATGTTCATAACATTGCCAAACAGGTTGAGTTTCAAACTGTGTAATCTTCTAACATAAACAGGTGGCAGAAAGTAAGAGCGGAAGAACTTCCTGGTTAGCTATGTGATGGAAAGCAAATTGGAGTCTTTATTAGCACTATTCATAGATCACGCAAAATGCATGCACAAATATATCCTGCAAATCAGATTGATGCCATTGTCATGGTTGTATAATTCCCATTTTCACTGGGGTGGATTTGAGACCATGCTCCTTGCTCTATATGTGGCAGAGGTCATGACACTGTTAGACTGATCTATCTTCGGGCAGAGAACTGAAGGAGAAAGATTGCCGGTGCATTGGATGAATCTAATAGACAAGGTGAGCTTAGAGAGAGCATGAGGGCAGAGAGGAGAGAAACTAAAGAGAGATGTGAGTTCAGGAATAGAGCAGGAAGTGGGGGAGCACTATTGGAAGTTTAATCTCGCAGACTAGTAGAAGGAAAGGTCATAGCACAGACAGCAGACGGATCATCTTGATGAGTTTCCCCATGCCAATCATTGTAATTTGGAGTGGACAGTGAAGGTAGTTTAAGAAGATGGCTTTCTGTAGAGAAAAGAATCCGAGGTTTGGTTTTAGACTCCTTTATCGTTGATCCTGAAATTGTAAGCAATTTAACAGACATGAAAGCGATATGATAACGTTTTCAGTGGTTGAGTCAGATTTGACAATGGAATCGAAGGACACACATTTAGTTGTTCTCGTGCATGAGTCACAAAATGTTAGTATGCAGGTACAGTTGGTTCTGCTGTAACGCTGTTCCGGCAATGCGAATTGGCTACAACGCGACTGATGAATAGGGGAACTTATTTCTAAAATGGGAATTTGTGTTATAATTCGATTCCTTCGGTGCGCGGGGGAGTATGAATCGACATCATATGATTGTTTTGCAGGCTTTGTCCTGAAAATGTGCAGTGTTAGTGCCAAAAAAGTTCTCTGTGCCGGCATCTCATGATTATTTCGCCGCCACATTTCAGAGGCTGATTGCAGCCACTGTGGGGGATAAGTACAGTGTTCTTCAATTTTGGAAGAGCTTTAACATCAAGAATGCAGTTGACCTTATTGTGGAGTCCTGGGGTGATGTCAGTAAGGACTTTGTGCATGCAGTTTGGTGGAAGCTTCTCCCAGATTTTTTTCAAGATTTTCAAGGCTTTGATCCGTCAGAGGAGTACCCAAGAATCAAAGAACATTGTGTTATCTAGCAAAGCAAGTTGGATTTGAAGAAGTGGAGGGTGAGGATGTTGAAGAGCTGCTTGAGTCCCATTGTGAAGATCTCTCTACAGCTGATCTACAACATTTTGCTGAGGGGGAAGTGGAAGCTGAAGATGAAGAAGAAGGGTAGCAGTTCGTGGAATAAGATCTTATAGGGCAAAGCAGCAAAAATTGGGTGTTTTTTTTTAAGCCAACCCTCAAGAAACAGTTAGAAGATAATGAACCACAGCCACCCATTTCTGGATTAACTATTTTTTGCCCTAACCCTGCAAACCACGACTCTGCCTGAAGGTGGTGGTGGTGGTGGTGATGATGATGATGATGATGACGAAGGCAACGACAACTCTCAGCCCCTGCATTAGCAGCAGAGCAACCTCAAAACCTCCTCCCCCATCAAGTCATCTTGACAGTTTTTTCAAAGTAAGATATTAAATTTCCTTTTATCTCATTATTGGATACGAATTAAACATTTATTCAAACCGTGCTGTCCTTTGTGTTCGGCTTTTGAGCGATTGAGTGATTTTTATTTTGGTGGTCTGCCCCTAACCCTGCTTTTTCCATATTTCCTGTTATTTTGTATAGCACAATTTTCTACAATGCTACGTTGCCCAGGAACATAACTATTGTGTTATAGCTGAACTGACTGTACAGCACATAATCAAGTAGGCTAACAGAAAGCTATCCTTTATTACAAGTAAAATTGAACGTAGCTGAAGCATATCATCCTTACTGTTGATGAGGCCACATCTAGAATACTGTGTACGTGGCTTACTAATTTAAGGAAGGATGTAAATGAATTGGAAGCAGTTCATAGGAAGTTTAGTAGATTGATAGCTAGAGAGTAGTCTAATAAGGATAGCCTGGATAGGTTGAGCTTGTTTTCACTGGAGTTTAGAAAAGTTAGTGGCCACTTGAAATGTATAAGATCCTGATAAGGTGGATATGGAAAGGATTTTTCCACTT